CCCTAGTTGGTGAAGCTGGAGGCAGGCATTCTTCAGTGAAGACATGGTGTATTTTAAATTTATTATTCTTAAATTAAATGTTTAATTGGAGGATAATTGCTTTGTTGTGCTGGTTTCTGCTGTACAAGGTGAATCAGCTATAAGTGTACATATATCCCCTCCCTCTAAGTTTATTATTCTTGAAGTGAGATTTTTTTTCTAGTAGCAGTGCCACAAGATATGGAGATTTTTTTTTTCTTCCTCCCTCTGTTTAGTATCAAACACCCAATTCAGATCTTACCAGAGTGGCTCAGAAGTGATCTTACCAGAGCACTTAAAAGCGTGGCTTCATGGCGCACCCTGCCGGCCAAGATGCCAATTGAAAAAAAACCTGAAAGCTTCTTCCTCTTCTGATTTACCACCACAAGAGAATGAGATTAAAACAAAGGATTTTTCTTCCCAGCAGCTGAAATAGACAACTCAAGACCGAATTTTTTTTTTAAAGCCTCCGTTCTGAAGGGTTCCTTTTTGCACAGCTACTTCAGTGATCTGGGTCTCTCCTCTGCTCCCAAAGTAGGCTCCTCCTGCTGCATCCAGAGTCAGTCTGCATGAGGCCTCCCTCCTGCCTCTCCTTGCGCTTCTTGCAGAGCCTTGGCTTTCCCTCTCAACTGCCCCACCCTCCGTGGCCCCAGGACTCTCCTCTTGGGATACTCTATCTTAGTCGAAGAAAGTAATAATCCTAAAAGCAGGGTGGTCCTATCCAGCTGAGCATTTCTGTGACATACAGGGAAGGACAGGGAAGCAGGTTGCTAGTTCCTTTTGCTGATGGCTGACCAAGTGCAGTGCAGAGCCCAGATCATCCGTGGGCACTCTCACCAGTCAGGAGACACCCAGAGGATCTTGGAACGGGGGAGAAGATCACGTTCAGTGGGTGTTTGCTTTTTATCTAGAAGTAGTAGCAACTTTTTGGGCTTTCCTGGTGGCTCAGACAGTAAAGGATCTGCCTGCAATGCGGGAGACCTGGGTTCAATCCCTGGGTCGGGACGATCCCCTGGAGAAGGGAACATTTACCCACTCTGGTGTTCTTGGGCCTTCCCTGGTGGGAAGTGACCTTTTACCCAGAGGACACTGAACTCCATGTCAAGAAAAGAAAGGTACTGTTGCCTTTGCTTCTTCCTGTTAATTTTGCATTTCTGTTCTTGTGACTATGACCCCAATTATTAAAACGTAGATAGATCTGGATGAGATTCTTTTTTTTGTGAAAGCAGGTAAATTGAACAACCTCTACCTAAGGCACATATGGAACTTCCCAGGTGGCACAGTGGTAAAGAATCTACCTGCCAATGCAGGAGATGCGGGTTTGATCCCTGGGTTGGGGAGATCCTCTGGAGGAGGCAATGGCAACCCACTCCAGTATTCTTGCCTGGGAAATCCCAGGGACAGAGGAGCCTGGTGGACTGCACGTCCATAGGGTCACAAGCATTGGAACATGACTCAGCAACTGAGCATACACACGCAAGGCACATGTAGATGAAGGGGACTTTCCAAACAATTAAGTTTCTGATTTTTATTTCATAATTTTTTTGAGTGTGAAGAGCTGAAGCAAGCGAAGAAGTTTTACAGACTTTTTTTTTTGGATTACTTTTAAAATAATCTATGATGGTTTTTTCTACCTGGTTCATAAGCAAACTGACCCCTTGAATATGTTGAAATCCCCAGAGTACCGCTGGAATGACTAAAGATATTTATAACGTAAAAGATTCTACTTTCTGCTTAAGCTTTGCGCTGCTTTCTGTCACTTTAGGGTTTGTTGTCTTTTCCCTTAAGTTGTCCAGACGGAGAGATCCAACTAGCTAAAACCACAGAATAACCAGAAACTGCCGGGGGCAGCTCTGTCAACAGGTTTTGTCGGTTGATTACATTGCTAACCTCTTTGGTTGGAGAGGTGAGTGGGGATAGAGGTCCATTCAGACTGATCTAGATGATTTCAAATTGGTTAAGATTCTGCCACACTTAAGACTGTTAGAAAGAGATGGCCCTCTGGGTTCTCCATCAGGTTCCATCAAAATCTGAGGTTTTAAAACATGTGAGGATCTTACTGGCTCTTTTTGCATGGAGTTGAAACTCTTGCCTTTCTATTGAGTCACCATGTTTCTTACCTCTGAGCTGAGGCGAAATGATTGTTTTAGGATTAAGAATATGAGCCCCTTCCCAGTTCCAGTTAAACTTTTCTCCTGCGTTGAGCTCCAGGGATGGAGGCTCTCAAGCATAACTGTCACTGAATTTTCTCTTTTAAATGTAATCCCCTTCCTCTTTTTTTCCTGGTGACACTCTTTGGAAAGTCCACTTTAACGGCTCCTCATCGTCATGTATGGGAATGTTGCTAAGAATCCCAGATTCTTCTCATTCATCTCAGCCAGCACCACTGGTGTGGTTTCCTTAGCTCCAGTTCCTAGACTTCCTTCGTTAGGTTTAATACTTGACCCTTGCTCACATCAAATTGTATGCAGAAGTACAGAGATCTGCGCTAGGAACTTACCAACCAGATGTAGACTTATGACATTAATCTTGTCCATATTTGGGTGATGGATGTTCAGTTTGAGGGCCAATCTACTTTTTTAAGTCACTGAGTCAGTTACATACACATTAATGTCAAGTAGCTATTGCGGGGAGGAGGGAAAATGATAGATTAGAGGAATATTAACTATTCTAATTTGTGCTGATAAACTTCACTTATCAATATAACTTATATTTGGCTGCATGCATCTGACACTTTTCATCCTGCCTCACGTGTTTTCCATTTTTTCTTTCTCAGTAGACTAGCTCATGTCCCCTGCCCACCTCATCCTCTTGTCCATAGTGCTCATCATCACCCCCGCCCCCAACCCCTCCATCTCAGTCCACGCCCATCCCGTCTCCATCCCCCTTCCTGTTCGCCCTTTGGCGGAAGGTACTGGTGGCTCAGCCTGCATGCGGCGCCCTTCTCCTCCTCTGCTGGCATGTCACGGTGGCACTGTTGTGTTTCTTCCTCTTCCTTTTTACTAACAGACGCAGACCAAACTGGAGCATGCCCGCATTAAGGAGCTTGAACAGAGCCTGCTCTTTGAAAAGACCAAAGCTGACAAACTCCAGAGGGAGTTAGAAGACACTAGGGTAATGGTTTTCACTATTTAACGAAGGGCTGATCCATGTTTGTGAACACGGCGGGTGACGGGCCCTGCAGTTGGCCTACAGCCCTGACCCAGTGGTTCGACTTGAGTCTGCTGGTCCTGGTACCGCCCAGGTCCTCATGGGGTGTAGACTGATGGGAGGGCCCAGGTGCTTTGTGTCGAAACTTTTGTCCAAGGTGAAGATTCATTCCTTTGGTTAACTTGGCCAAAGTCATCATCTAAACTCTGCAACTATACAGACTGCATGGACATCCACAGCTGCATTTGAGGGTCTTTGTATGAATACCAGGAAATAACCTTTCTCCTGTTTGCCACCAGCAGTCAATTGTCCTCTTGTTCTCATATTCCTAGTGGGTTTTCTAAGTAATTTTTTTGTTATTGTTTTACTTTAGCTCTCTTTTTCTGCCTTCTTCCCTGACCTCTTGGGTGAAGAGACTGGAAAACATTGGCTCTTTTTAATGAGAGTTAAGGATTTTCACCCCAGTTTTTAAAAATTTTTTCCCTTGGCACTTGATCTCTTTGTATTTCTGTTACCCAGTAGGTTAAATTCTCAGTGGTCAGGAGGGAAAAGTGTGTTGGGAACAGAATGACTTCTGCCAACCCCCAGATCACAGTGTTTGGCCCTAGGAGGCAGTGCATTAGTCGTGTGTTCACTTGAAAAATGAAACAAGTGAAATTTATTTATATATTTAAGCACCCATAAGGGCTTTCTTTATACCAGACACTATTCCCAGCACTTTACAAATGTTAATTTTAGTCTCACCACAGTCCCATGAGGTAGGTAGTAGTGTTGTCTCCATTTTACAGATGAGTGGCACTAAGGCACTGGCACTAATATGTCCCAGCTCGCACAGCTAATAGAGATAGTGGGGCCAGGATTTGCATTTGGGCCATTTGACCCCAAAGTCTGTGCTGTTAACCACTACAGGATGGAGTCTGTCTATTACAGAAGTCATTTTGTGCTAAAAGATTTAAGAACTAATCTGAGTCACATATAAGAAAACACGTATGTATGTACACCTTTTAAATCCTGAATTTGACTGTTAGTAGCTAAATCACCCAGATCCTTAATTTTAAAATTTCAAAAATTATTCTATCTCTAATCAAATTTGGTATCCTGATTTTTTTCTTTTGAATTATTAGCGTTTGTAAAAAATTCTCGAGAAATCATTAATCTAAAAAAAATCTAGAAAATCAAGTCATTTTTCTTTTCTAAGTCATGAGTTTTTTATTGTTTAAGAAGAAAGAAAATGTTCTCAGTTGGCCTCAAAACTAAAGATGTCTTCTGTGTATTTGGTAAGGAAAAAAATCCTGGTAATTTGGTGCCATGTACTTGTTACCTGAGAGTCAGACTTGATCTGGGAAATACAAGGAACTGATAGGAAGCCTGAGCTCCTGTGGTGTGGCTGGCTATTGAAGTAAGGATTTTTTTTTTTTTAACTTCTGAAGTGCTCTCCTATACAGCTTTGTCAGCAAACAATTTTTTTTTAAATTTTCTGTGAATAAGAAAGCATCCATTCACAGCACAGCTTATTCAAGTATTTCAGATTCAAACTGTTACCTTCCTGTAACAGTCCTGTTGATCCTCACTCTAGGTCTGCCAAGTATGGAACTAACTCCTGACCCATATAAATTTCCCATCACCCACATTCCTTTTTGGGAAGTGCTGTAAAACTCCTCTAAGCCAGTAAGCTCAGCTTATAAACAGCGTGCTTGGTGCTGTAGAGACATCAGCAAGAATTACAAACAGTAACCTGACTTTTATGGTGGGAAAGGCAGACACATAGATAGTTTCACCTGAGAGCAGATTTGGGGAAGTTAAAAATAGAAGTGCTGTGAAAGTGCTCCATAATCAAACTATTATTCTCCCTCATTTTTTACTTGGCATTTCCTCAGTTTGACAGTTTTGTTGTGACTGATTAAGAATTAGTTCCCTGTTGGGTTCAATTTATTTGTATTATAGACCTCGTAGCAATGGAGTTTAATAATGTACCTTATTTTGTGGTAACAAGCTCTCCGAGTCCTCACCTCCCCACCTCCACCCCAGAAAAAGCTAAGTCAATGAATTACCATCTTTCAAATACCTACATGCAATCCTGAAACACAACAGTTAGAGCCAGCTCTGAAATGTTCAGTGACTTGATCATGCCGTCTTGGGAGTCCCAAGTGCTTTATTTTCTTGTTCATGATCGACCCTTTAGTCTTTATCCACCTCACAGCCTGTTGTTGGGCCAAGGGGCTGAAGGAAACATACATCCATTGTCTCCTGTCCTGTTAAAGGCAGCGAGGGAACGAACCTTCACCCTGCAGGACATTTGATCTGTGAAATTTGGGACTCACTGATATCTTGAAATCATTCAAGTTCCCCTTCTATTTCCCTGGTTAGCCCAGTAATTAATTTTTGTGCCCGAAGCTATCATTTCCCACATTTTTGTGCACCGAACTGACTGCCTATCAGATAACAGAGGGAAATAGCTTCCAAGGATAAAAGGACGAAGGTTAGGAAAATAGTTTTCTTCATCCTGGGGTATAAGTTTAAATAACAGTAGATTCTCAGGTTCTGTCCCCAAGCTCAGGTAGAATCAGCGTGTGTGGGCCACTGGTGACTCACGCACACACTAAGGTTGGAGAACCACTGGGTTAGGGCAGTGACACATGTATGCCAAGACGGTGAAAGAATTACAAACCCTTAAAGGGCGAGGGGGGGATTCCGTATAAGATTCTTAACGTATCATTGCAGGTAAGTAACCATTTTTTCCTTGTCCTCTCTTAAAAAAAGTCTCGTCAATTTGTTCTTCTTTATCCACTTGAGGCTTTCATTCCCCAGTCGTGGTATTCACTGAAATGTTTCCTAGGTATTTTTATGCCGGTGCTACCCAACAGGATTATGACATGAGCCACAGATGTTTTATAATTTAAAATTTCCTGGTACCCACATTAATGTGCATAGGTTAAAAGGAACAGGTGAAATTAATTTAGTAACATTTTATTTAAACCAAAATATCCAAACTATTATTGTTTCGTCATATAATCAACATAAGAAATTGTTAACAAGATACATTCTGTTTTTCCCTGAGTCATCATTATTTGATGTATATATGACTCTCATAGCCTCATTTCAAGTGCTGAGTAGCCGTATGTGGCTCATGGCTGCTGTCCTGGACAGCACACTTTGGTAAAGTCACTGCCAACAGATAGATAAGCGTTTATACCCCTTGGGTAGAGTAGGCAAAACGAAGATTCTTCTTCCAGAAGGCAAATATATGAGAACTTTGAAAGGTACTGTTTATATTAACTAACTATAGTTAATGGGTACTCCTCCTGATTTAAGGTTCTTTAGATGGAAAAGAGCTATTTGGGGGGTGAGTTAAGCTCAATAAAGCTCAGTTTTATTTTCCTTTAGCATCTCAAAATGGTGAAAAGTTTGCCAAAGACTGTAATTTGGACTGTATTTTGAATTGGAGCATCTAGAACCAGACTTAAGCCACAGTCACGCCTGGATTGACACACAGACATTCTTGGTGGCTTGACTGCTGCCTGAGATGGGGTAGTCACTAAAGATCTCCAAGGTTAGAGAAAATTGTCAGTGATTCGTCATTTAAATGGTCTCTTCTTTCTCCTTGACTGATGCTAACTAGGTGGCCACGGTGTCAGAAAAGTCCCGCATCATGGAACTCGAGAAAGACCTCGCTTTGCGAGTGCAGGAGGTAGCTGAGCTGCGGAGGCGGCTGGAGTCCAATAAGCCAGCTGGGGATGTGGACATGTCACTGTCCCTCTTGCAAGAGATCAGTGCCTTGGAGGAGAAGATAGAAGCCACTCATAGTGACCATCAGAAAGAAGTCGCTTCTCTGAGGGAGCATTTTGGAGCCCGGGAAGAAACACACCAGAAGGAGTTAAAGGCTCTGCAGGCCGCCACAGAGAAGCTTTCCAGTGAGAATGAGTCCCTGAAAAGCAAGCTCGACCATGCCAACAAGGAGAATTCAGACGTGATCATCCTGTGGAAGTCCAAGCTGGAAACAGCCATTGCGTCCCACCAGCAGGCCATGGAGGAGCTGAAGGTGTCCTTCAGCAAGGGGGTCGGCACCGAGACAGCTGAGTTTGCGGAGTTAAAAACGCAGATAGAGAAGATGAGACTAGACCACCAGCAGGAAATAGAAAAGCTGCAGAACAGGCAGGACTCGGAAAGGTGTGCTCACATGAAAGAGCTCGAAGCCCTAAAGGCTAAGCTGATGCAAGTCATTAAAGAGAAGGAGAACAGTCTGGAAGCCATCCAGTCGAAGCTGGACAAAGCGGAAGACCAGCACCTAGTGGAAATGGAGGACACCTTAAACAAACTGCAGGAAGCCGAGCTAAAGGTAAAGGAGCTAGAGGTGCTACAAGCCAAATGCAGTGAGCAAACCAAGGTTATTGATCATTTTACATCACAGCTCAAGGCTGCCAAAGAAAAGCTCTCGGATCTTGATGCACCTCAGAAAGCCAGCTCTGAAGGTAAATCGGAAATCGAGAACCTCAGACAGGAGCTCAAAGCAGCTAACAAACGGATTAAAAGCTTAGAGAGTGAAAAGGATGCTGAAAGCGGCAAGGTTTGTAGCGACATCCTCCATCTTTTTTTTTTTTAACCTCCATTTCTTATCTTGAGTTGTACCCTATTTTTCAGTTGAGGTCATTCATCCTCCAAACTTCTGACTTAGTTAAAACTGGTGCTGACCTGATTTCCCATATGAGTGGAGTATCTTCTGAGCATCACGAGTATGGTTTCATCTGAGGAGATTAGAGAAAATAACTCAGGGGTGTGCATGGATTCTGGTTTCTTCGTATCGGAATACTTTATTATTGGGTTGGCCAAACAATTCGTTCAGGTCTTTCCATTAATACCTTATGGAAAAACTTGAACTCACCTTTTGACCAAACTGATACTTTATCTCTGGATTTGCTGTGATCTCTTGTTTCAGCTTGATTCCAGTCTATAAACTCTTTTGAAAATAGAGAACCCCCCAAAATGATGGTGTTGAGGTAAATGAATTGAATGTATAAGAAGCTTAAAAGATAATCTCATCCTTTCCCACTGCCTGTCTGTCGAGTCATATGTAGGCTTTCCAGGTGGCTCAGTGGTAAAGAATACGCCTCCCAACACAGGAGACATGGGTTTGATCCCTGGGTCAGGAAGATCCCCTGTGGAAGGAAATGGCAAGCCACTCCATTATTCTTGCCTGGAAAATACTGTGGCCAGAGGAGCCTGGTGGGCTACAGTCCATGGGGTCGCAAAAGAGTCAGACATGACTTAGCGACTAAATAACAAGAGTCACAGGTAAAACAGAATGTGAACTCTGAGGGCACTTGACTCTTGTAAATTAACATGCTGTGATTAATAACATTCACAGCAAAATGAAGGTTAACAACCTGGAGCCCTCCACATTGCTACTTATGTCTCATTGGAGATTTTTCCTATGTCACAGTGAGAGCATGGTCTATTCCTTACTCTTTGGAGGAAAGACTGGACAAGTGTGTTTTTGACCAAGCCATAGAAAATGATAGGAAACCTCTGCCAGCTACATTTCTTACTAACTAGCCTTGTTAAATGTCATAATCATTTTTAACTATTGTTCGAGGAAGGAATCCTCTTTCCCAGTCCTCCTGCCACTAGTTGAGGCACTGATACTGATGCTGAATGTTCTGAGCTTTGTGTGGGAGAAGCTGCTCTATTGGCAAAGAAGGAAGGGTTGTGATGGTTAAATGGGGAGAGGTGAGGACAGACAAATGGCAAAGATTGCTAAGTAACCTTAGCCGAAGATGACAATCCCAGAAAATTTTTCTCCAGTTTCCTCATTTGGTTCCGAACTACCAATCCAAACACAAAAATTAAATTAATAAAGAATATGTAGCTAATGGTTGGTCTACTTTTTTACATGAAGATTCAATGAAAGGCAATTTTTCTGATGGCTGTTGTCTAGTACATGTTTAAAGTTTTATTTTACATGTTGAAAAACTTCAAGCATGTACAAAATACAAAAAATGAAATACAGTCAACTTGAGTCTACTACCATTCCTGTCTTACGGTCTTTAAAAATCCAGAAAGTGAAATTGCTCAACTGTCTGATTTAGAAAGTAAGCTGCTGGGACTTCCTGGGTGGTCCAGTGGTTAAGTATCCACCTGCCAATGCAGGAGACACGGGTTCGATCACTGATCTGGAAACTCAAATCCAACATGTTCTGGGGCAGCTAGGCCTGTGCACCACAAAAAAGAAAAAAAAAATACAGTAAACATCTATATTTTCTGTTTTAGATCATGCTGATAGTCCAAATTTAGGTATAGAAAAATACTATATTTTGATTATTTAAAAATAGCCACGGACAGTCTTATCTAGAACTGATTGTGTGACAAGTCATTGGCTTCTTAGAACTAAAAGCAACAACACTAAAATGACTTTTTACCCATGCCTTTGTTCCTTTCAGTTTTGTTTGGTTGTGTTTGTTTCTCATACATTTTTTTCACATTCGTCTTATGTTTTCTTTCTCATTCCTTTTTGTTTCCTTTGGTCCATCGGCTTCTGTACCATGTAACTGTCTGGTAGGCTAGTAGCATCACCAAAGAGCTGCAGGGAAAAGAGCTAATGCTTAATAACCTTCAGGAAAACTTGAGCGAAGTCAGCCGAGTGAAAGAGGCTTTGGAAAAAGAACTGCAGGCTTTGGTAAGTACCTGTCAGGAATCTGAATCTCAGGGTTTCTGGCCAATTTGAATCGTTCCTGTTTAAAAAAAAAAAAAACATGAAAATTTCTATAAAAAAAGAAGTATGGCACCTATTTCCTTTCTCTTGCAAAGTATTGATTGGCTGATAATCGGGAATTGGATCAAACCCAAACTAGTAATAAAGGTAAGTATTGCTTTTTTTAAAATCCGTCCTTTGCCTCTGGTAATGCATTGACGTTTTGACATGTTGCTGACTACTTAGTTTCACTAAACATGGGGACCTTCCAAGTTATGTTAGGTTTCATGGGTAGTTCTTGCCCTGTGCTTTGTCCTCCCTGCCCTGAGACAGTAAAGCCAGCAAGCTCCCTGGACCACAGGCACCCTCCATTAGCAGGGCAGTGATGTTTGTGTGTACTCGGTCATGTCCGACTCTGTGACCCCATGGACTGTAGCCCACCAGGCTCCTCTGTCCATGGGATGCTCCAGGCAAGAATACTGGAATGGGGGGGGGTCTTCCATGTACCTTCTTGATTTCCACTTTTTATACCTCTGTGCTAATACCAGTGGTGAATAAAAGTGTTTGATATTTCTTTGATTTAAATGCCAATATTACATATTTCTACTTTTTAAAATGTTCATATGTAGTTAACTGCACTATTCATTATGATAGCTACCATCCACTTGGCTCTATAAATTTGAATTAATTAAAGTTAAATAAAATAGAAAATTTGAGACTTTCCTGGTGGTCCAGTGGCTAAGACTCCATGTTCCTAATGCATAGGGCGCAGGTTTGATCCCTGGTCAGGGAACTAGATCCCATGTGCTCCAACTAAGAGTTTTTGTGCTGCGACTAAGACCTGGTGCAGCCAAATAAATAAATATTTTTAAAAATACAGAAAAATTAAAAAAAAAATACAGGAAATTCAGTTCCTCCATTGCACTAGTCACATTTTAAGTGCTTGGTAACTACACATGGCCAATGGCTGCCAACTGACCAACACAGTATTGTAGAGAATTCTGACGAACCCCCACAGTTTTGATACATAGTATTTCAGGTACATTTTGAGAAAAGTTGGCCTGGAAATTACCATTTTTTAATATAGTGTCCTTTAATAAAGTGCACTTTGGGTGTCATGCCATTTCTCTGCCCTCCTCCCCAAGCTTTCAGGATGCCTTACTTTTTTTTGTTTTTCAAGTTGGAGTATTCCTCTGTGTCCTCTGCAAAGAAAACATGCCTCCTGGAGTTTGGCCTTGGGAATAACGCAGGTGGACAACCTGTGGGCTGTGATGGACTTGTGGCTTGTGAGCCCCTTTTTTAAATCAAATATTCATTTAAAAGTTCACTTGGTATCTCTAGCTCAGAATTCATCTCAGGAAAATCAGGAGAGTGGTTTTATCCTGCTTTCCTGTCATGTTTAGAAAAGATAGTGAGTGAGCGGTGGACTTTTTAATGTAAAGTAGTTGACACAGATCTAGTTTCCAGATACTAGGTTCTAATTATTCTTAGATGTAAAACATGTCAGAAGTCAGATCCACAGACGTAGAAAACAAACTTAGGGTTACCAAAGTGGGAAGGTGGGAGAGAGGGATAAGTTAGGAGCTTGTCGTTGTCATATACACGACTATATAAAAAATAGATGACCCACAAGGACCTAGTATAGCACAGGGAGCTATACTCAATGTTTTGTAATAACCTATAAAAGAGTTAGAAAAAGAATAGATACTTGTGTGTGTATAACAGAATAACTTTGCTGTACATCTGAAACTAACATAGCATTGTAAATCCACTAAACTTAAAAAAAAAAAAAGAAATATTAAAAAACTATTTCTGAACTCTGGTCGCTGTCTCAGGCAGGTTTATGGAGAAGTTCTGCTACTTGGTGGTAGCAACATGCAGAAAAAGTATACACATGGCACCACATGTATATACCCACACATGCATATACTGACATAAGTGTGCATATCCATACACATATACAGACATATGTGCATGCCCAGCCAGGCACATAGACACAAACCTCATTCACTCGTGTGCATACATGCATAGTACCCATATGGTAGTAATTGACACCTACATGTTTTAAGCATAAGTTAGCTTTAATGAAACAAAACTAGCAACAAAAAGTAATGTTACAGTGATTGAAACTTTTTATAATTTGAGATCTATCTATTCTGAATGTCCAATTGTTTTTCTTTAGAAAGAAAAGTTCGCTGATGCTTCAGAGGAGGCAGTCTCTTTTCAGAGAAGTATGCAAGGTACGTTTCACTAACATAAGAGCACTTTAGAGGAGGTCCCGTCCTCAAGCCGGAGCCAGTCTTCAGCTCAAATAAAGTCCCTGCAGTGCATAGTAACACTACATTCCCTTGGCTTCTTAAAGCCTCAAATTAATTCTTTTTATTTTTTTATGAGGAGTGTGAAATGTATATGGGTTTATTTTCAGTTTATCCCCTTCTACATTATACCTACTGTTAGATGCCAACACGTCTAACACATTAAAATATTCGCACATTAAAAAAAAATTTGAAAGGCATCGTCACTTCTCTCATACTGTCAGCCAGTCAGCCGAGCTGTGTCAGCCTTCAGTCCATGCCTTAAGCACCCTTCCCCACCATTCTGAAGTCCCAACATGTGCTCGGTGACATGGAAAGAGCCAGCATCACCATTCAGACACAGCTTACCTTCCCAAACTGCTGTCACCTCTGCAGCCTAATCATTTCACCTGAAATCTATCCTGCCTTCTAGAAATATACAGTCCAGTTTCCCAGTTGTATTAAAGGACTCACCCCTGTCAAATATACCCAAGACACATTGGGTAAGAGCAGCAGGTTACAAAATAGTATATACTCCATGGCTCCATTTATACAAACCTATGCGTGCCATTTCCTACTCCAGGGGATCTTCCCGACTCAGGGGTTGAACTTTCATTAATTACATCCCCTTGGCAGGTGGATTCTTTATGACTAACACCACCAGGGAAGCTCATATAAAACTTTATGCACATGTATTCAACACTAACCCCCAACACAGATATTTGAATGGATCGTGTCCACAATATTTCTAGTAATGAACTCTGGGTGGTCAGGTTGACTCCCATTAATTTTTTCTTCTTTTTGACCTAAAGCTTGACTCATGTTAAAATGTAGATGTACTTGGGTAAAGTATCATCTTTCTTAAGCTTCAGTCATTGGTAGCTCTATTGAGTTTTAAGTGGAAGGAGGCAAGAGATCCCTGGAGAATGGATATTCAGTGCCTGCCTAATCTACACATCTGGGGAGACAGAAAATTGCTTGCTCAAGCTTCTTTAGTTTCATTATATAGTGGTTTGATTTCTAATGGGATTCTTTAGTATTCCCGTGACCCCAAATCTCAAACTTTTGATTTGATTTGATTATAAGACAATCAAGCTTTAGGTGGCTTATTAACTCTTGAGATGTATTAAACTTTTAACTTAATCCCAAATAGAAACTGTAAATAAATTACACCAAAAAGAGGAACAGTTTAACGCCGTGTCTTCCGAACTGGAGAAGTTGAGAGAAAATTTAATGGGTAAGGACACATCTCTGGTTATTACAAACATTAAATATAGTAGGCTTCCTCGGATTTGAGATGATTTTAGTGTGTGGTTACAACCTATCTACTGTTCAAGCATAAAGTCTTTACTCATTGTGTTCTCTTGTGATGAAAAACTTGTTGGACGTCTGTAAACCTCAGCAAATTCTCTCTGCTTTGTTTTCAAACAAGTCAGAATCCACCACACCTCACCACTCCCAGTGCTACTCTTCATCCTAGCCAGCCAGCATCTTTAGTCCGAGCTGTAGTAACAGCTGGCCACCTGGGCTGCCCACTTCTGCTCTTGCCCTCTTCAGTCTTAGCACAGCAGCTGAGGAGATGCTTTCAGCATCAAGTCAGAGCATGTCACATCTCTGCTCAAGGTGGCCCAGTGGCACCCATCTTGCTCAGAGTAAAAGCTGTAGTCCTTAACTCCCATCAGGTCCTGTTACGTTTCTGATTTCATCCCGTGCTATTCTTCCCCAAGTTCCTTCCGCTGCAGCCATATCTGCCTCCTTGGTGATACTCGATTGTGAAGCGTGTTCCTGCCTTGGGGCCTTTCTTCTGCCTGCATTCCTCTTCCCTCACTTCCCCTAGGGTTTTACTTAAACGTCACTGTCTCAGAGAGGCTCTTTCTAAGATTTCACACTCCCCAGCTTCCTTCCTGGCTCCTGTCTCTGCTTGTATTCTTTTCCCCCTCTTAGCACTTACCACTCTCTAATATATGTTGATTCTCTTTCTTGTTCATTGTCTCTCTTCTTTGCTAGAATATAATTTTCATGAGAGCAGGGATTGCTACGTACAGATAATTCCAGAGCAAGTTTTGGCATACAGGATGTAGTTAATACATTGTTGTTGGTTATAACACAACAGCTCTATTTTTATATATATATATATATATATATGTATATTCAGATATGGAGGCAAAATTCAGAGAGAGAGATGAAAGGAAAGAGCAGCTGTTAAAGGCAAAGGAAAAACTGGAAAATGACATTGCAGCAATAATGAAAATGTCTGGAGACAATTCTACTCAGCTGACAAAAATGAACGACGAACTACGTCTGAAAGAAAGGTATGTATGAGTGTTAATAAGAGCGTCTGCTTTAGGTTAGGCTCTCAAGGAAGGTCTAGATGGGAGGAGAGCCAGACTCTTCAGGATAGTTATGTTTTAAATGTTGCCTGTCTCTTGTCCTTTATTGTCTCAGTGTATTCTTGAATCAATTATTTAACCTTCTAAGGGGAAGATGGTAGTTTACCAATGGCAATAACATCTTTAAAAAAAAATTTTTTTTTAATTTATTAATTTGGCTGTGCTGGGTCTTAATTGTGGCATGTGAACTATTAGTTGTGGCTTATGGAATCTAGTTCCCCGACCAGGGATCAAACCCAGACCCCCTGCATTGAGAGCGTAGAGTCTTAGCCACTGGACCATCAGGGAAGTCCCAGGCAGTAACATCTTGTAAAGGCAGTCAAAAATATTTTTAACCTATTGCAGTGTAATGATAACGATTATGAAGGGCTGACCACATGCCACATGGTATGCTGACCACTTTGTATAGAGTATATTTTCCTGATAATCCCACGAGGTGAGTGTATCATTGTTCCCATATTAAAGAAAAAGAAATCGAGACATAATGAGGGTAGACAACTTGCCTGAGGTTTCAAGTCTAGGCAGTGTGGTCCCAGCGCCCTCGCTGCCCTTCATCACGACTCTGTACTTCCTCAGCGCTAAAGCTTCTTACATTAAATCTCTGTCCTTGTCTTTATTCTGAGGCTCTTGTTGCTTTGATTTGTTTTAATGGCTGCTGTATAAAAATCAAATGTTTATTTTATAAGGCACATTTTTTAGAAGACATGTTAGCACCATTAGACTTCTGATTCTGAAAGTGTTAACACTTGGCAGTTACATTTACATCCAGCCATGCAGGGACTTCCCTGGTGGTCTGGTGGTTAAGACTCTTCCATTAATGCGCTTCCATTGCAGGGGGCACAGGCTTGATCCCTGGTCCGGGACCTAAGATCCCACATGGTGTGAGGTGTGGTCAAAATATAACAACAACAAAAACATTGAGCCGAGCGCTCCCACAGGGCTCCGTGGTGGTGGTGATGGGCACCTGGGCCTTGGTTGGCCGACTTTGGTCAGACTTGCTGGGAGGCGGGCACAGCTGCAAGGTGGTTGTGGCCAGAGCCTTGGAGAAGTTCCATTTCTGTTGGCATTTTATCCAGTGTTTCCATCCAAGTTTCCCTCCTCTCATGTATGAGACAGCCCGCTCTCTAGACTGATGGCCCTCATACATCTTCATCGGACCACAAGGTTATCTTTAAGCTAGAACTTCAAATTATTGTTATTTTCATATCTGTATTCTGAAGTGGCACCCAAATGAGTCTTACATATTCTAGTCTGCTAAAATTTGGAAACCTCTAAGTACTTAGTTCCTCTAATATGTTTCCTTTTCTCTCATCTTTCTGTATTGCTTTCTCTCATCTTTCTGTATGTGCTGTGCTGTGTTCAGTCATGTTTGACTCTTTGCGACCCTATGGGCTGTAGCCCACCAGGCTCCTCTCCATGGGATTCTCCAGACAAGAATACTGGAGTGGGTTGCCATGCCCTCCTCCAGGGGATCTTCCCGACCCGGGGATCGAACCCAGGTCTCCTCCATTAGAGGCTGATTCGTTACTGTCTGAGCTGGACATAAAATAATGAACGTTCATACTTAGAATAGTTGTTACTCTAAGGTATTTATAACCATCACAGTCGTTAAAGAGTATTCTTCAGGACCAGTCAAGGTGTTTTTTTTTGCTAATTCTAGATGTTATTGCTCATAACATTTATCATCATTAAGCCAATTATTATCAATATTATCATTTAAAGTATAACTCTAGGATTTAAAGTACTTTTTGGAAAAATCTGACGCTTCATTTTGAAATTCTTTCTAGAGATGTAGAAGAATTACAGCTGAAACTCACCAAGGCTAACGAAAACAGAAGCCTCCTGCAGAAAAGTATCGGGGAAGTAACTCTCAAAGCTGAACAAAGTCAGAAAGAAGCAGCTAAAAAGCATGAGGAAGAAAAGAAAGAACTGCTGAGAAAACTGTCATACCTGGTAAGGAGAGAGAGAGTCAGTGGGACTGGTGGCCAGCAGGGGCAGAGAGGGTGGCTGGCAGGACAGCTGTGGCCAGGTGACTTCCTTCTGACATGGGGTATCTGCAGGAAAAGAAGGTGGAAATGAGCCGCAACGAGTGTCAAGATCTGAAAGCCAGGTACGAGGAAGCCAGTTCTGAGAGCAGAGCCAAGCACGAAGAAGTCCTGCAGAGCCTCCACAAGCTGCTCCGGGACACAGAGGAGCGGCTGAAGGCTACACAGGAGGAGAACTGTGAGCTGCTGCAGAAGCTGGAGGAGCTGGGGAAGCAAGCCGAAGGAGCCAAAGTATGTGGTGGGGAGGACCGTGTGCCCCAGCATAGTGAGCTTTGCGTCCCGCGTCGGGGTTGTAAGGGTGCTTAGGAAGCAGCAGCGTGTGGAAGGGGTTCGGTGGCCTTCAGAGCGCATGGCAGGAAGGGGAAGGACGTCTCCTGTGGCTTCAAGTGTTTTGTACCAGCCGCTCTCCCTTCTCAGGGTTGGTGGTGGCTACAGGTCTTTCTTTCCACCCTGAATGGACTGTGTAGCCATCACCCCCTACGCTGCTTCACAAAGAGCCTTCTGTTGCCTGAGCTCTGTCCACCTGCTTGTAATAGACTCTGTCGCGGAAAAGCATGTCCCTCTAGTCTTGGCCGTCTTGCTGCCACCTTGCACCAGGGTTAGGAGAGACATCGTGCAGAAGAGCAAGAGGCAGAGGCCACGCGTGAGGCAGGTGGGCAGGGAATGGAGCCTTGTCGGAAGAGCAGAGGAAAAAGAAGGGAGACCTCTGGAGAAAGTTTTCGTATGTCCCCAGGAAGGCAGTGAAAGCTTATTAACAAGGAAGTTGGATTGAAGGGCTGTGAGAAAACATCCTACTACTGAGTAGAGTAGAACTCGATACATTGAATTTTATTTTATGGTGTCAGGATTGTGTCAGTGTCCCAATATGTTTTCTGACCCACTTACTGCTATTTAAATTGCTCAAAGAAAAGTAAATTATTGTCTTTAATTGTTTTTAATGTGTCAGAGAAATGTTTATATACATGTAGGAGTTGAGTAGAATAAGATACAGAAGAATATGTGTAGGACTTAAAACAGATCCCTGATACTGGGAATGACTGGGGGCAGAAGGAGAAGGGGGTGACAGAGGATGAGATGGTTGGATGGCATCACCAACTCAATGGACATGAGTTTGAGCAAGCTCCAGGAGATAGTGAAGGACAGGGAAGCCTGGCGTGCTACAGTTCACGGGGTCACCAAGAGTCAGACATGACTCAGCGACTGAACAACAAAACAGATCCCTTTTAAATTAAATGGAATACATCATAAGATACGTCATGTGTGAAAGTGAAAGGTGCTCATTCATGTCTGATTCTTTCCGACCCCATGGTCTATATAGTCCATGGAATTCTCGAGGCCAGAATACTGGAGTGGGTAGCCTTTTCCTTCTCCAGGGGATCTTCCCAACACAGAGATCGAACCCAGGTCTCCTGCATTGCAAGCAGATTCTTTACCAGCTGAGCTACCAGGGAAGCTACATGCTGCCCATCAAGGCTTTCTCTTTTCCCTGTGAGATATCTCCAGTTTTATGAAACATTTAATACCGGATATAATTTCCAGAATTTTGGACTTTGAGGCTCCCTTTATCTTGGTAGACACCTGTTTTCGAATGTATCCCTTAAAATGCTGCAGCCTGACCAAACGACAGCATTCTAGAGGTTTGTGTAAAGCCCCATTAATTTTGTTTGCTGTTGTTTTCGTAAGGATCATTTGGTTAAACTGCCAGAATTGTTTCCCTTCCAAAGTAGTCTGAATATCGTATTTTTGTGAACCTCAGTGTTTGTCAGCAGCAAGGGCTCAGCAGACACTTTTGAGAGCTGATGAAACCTTCAGATGTTTTCCCCAGGAAAATTGATTTACACACTTAACCAGTTTGGGGTGAAATCTCAAGAAGTTCATGGAGCCCGCGATGCTCCCTTGTTCCCTAGTTTAATAGCCAGTGAACTATGCCATGCCATCCAGTACAGTAGGCACTGGATGCGTGTAGCCATTTAAATATAAACTAGTTCAAGTTATAAATTCCCCTTCTCAGTCATACGTGCCACACATGTGGTTAGTGGCTACCACAATGGACAGTGCAGATCAAATCCTTTTACATCATGACAGAAAGTTCTGGACAGCACTGGTAGAGACACTGTGGTCAATTTATTTTATAAACCAATGCATTTTTTTAAAAGCCCATTTATTTTGGTCATCANCATTAACGGTAAAGTGGGAGGTTCAGGGATCGGGCCCCTGGCCTTAACCATGTTCACTAACCCTGTAGTGGCTGAAGGAACGTGCCTTCATTTCCAAAGAAGGAAATGCACCCCATTTAATCACTTGGTCAGATATCTCAAGCTGTTTGTCACCGCCTGAAAGGGCAAGCATTTACCAGATATCTAATTGCTGTCATCTCTCTCCATTAGAAAAGATTGCAAACTGTGAATAAAAAGGATAGATGTTTTTTAATTTAGGGAGAATTTTTCTGAAAAGGCAACCATAGCAATACTATATCAACTAAGGATTTGTTTCCATGTGTATATTATCTTTTTTATTCACAGACATGCTTGTATTCATTGCCTACAGCTTCTCATGGACTTGGTCATTCAGTGCTTCTCATTAAACACTTGAGCCTTAAACACTATAACCGCCCAAATAATTTCCATTTTCATTTGAAAAGTTCCCAACCGAAATTCCAAGTGATTTCAAAAGCCCCAAATTCGAGATAGCAAGAAGAATATTTTAAACTTCTAACAGTAAATATGATTAAGAGGAAATTTGGCCACAGAAGGATGTAAACCTTTCTTATCAGTGAACATTTCTCTCAAACATAAGTCAGAATGATGAACACCATTGTCAGTGGAACTCAAAACTTAGAAGGCGTAGGTTTATAGGGATCTGAAAATACGTAAATCGCACATTTCAGTTTGGCTTGTTGAAAAATGGCACAGAAAGAGTCTATAACTTTGTGCTGCTTGTTCGTCTTGGTCTGTCTTGGCATGGGGTTGGTTACCAGCTCACCGTCTCTGTGTGATTCCCTTCACCACACAGATCCTGAGTCTCGTGGCCTGAGCGTTAGTCAC